TTGATGAGATAGTTATTTGGGAAAACATTCTTAAATGGGGATTAGCAAAACATCCTGAAATCAATAATATCAATGTTGAAGATTGGTCATTACAAAATTTTGTTGATTTAGGCAACATGTTAAAAGATTTTCTCCCTCTGATAAGATTTCAGGATATTTCTAAAGAGGATTTTCTTGATAAAATTGAACCATATGATATACTTTTTCCTAGGACTTTATGGAAACCCCTTTTACAACATTACATAATTCCAGATAAGCAACAAACATTAAATTCATTACCATCAAGAAATCCAAATTTAAATAGTTAAACTCAAGGCTTAAACCATTGACAATCAATCAAAAACTTATTTTGCTTTTTGCAAGTTGGATTGATAAAAAAAATCCACCATACACTTCATTTAGGGAAGTCAAATATAAATTCAAACTTCTATATCAAAGCAGCAGAGATGGTTTAAATTCTATCAAAAATGTGGCAATATCAACAAAACCCTTGTAGTTGGTAAAATGCAAAATTCAGAGCAAATATTTGGTGGTTATAACCCACTTAACTGGATTGTAAACATGAATAATGTATATAAGAATACAACAGAAAGTTTTATTTTTAATATTAGTAATAGAAATGATGATAATACTGCACAATTTAGTTATGTTATTAATAATGATTATGAGCATGCAGTTCGTTGTGGTCCTAATTCTTTACCTGATTTTGGTAATGGTTATGTTATGATGTTTGGTTTAATAGATTTAGTTATTTTGGTGTAGACCAAAGACTTATAATAACATCAATATAGTACAGAATAGTAAATTTGATGAATTAGAAGTTTTTCAAATAATTGATACAAAATAAATACTAATGCAATGTAATTGTTGATAAACAATCAATATAGGAAGGGGTAAAATTTGATGAATTAGAAATTTTTCAAATAATTGATACAAAATCTACATTATTATTGTAAAATTTTTTGATAACCTATTTTTTCCAACCATTTCAATTGATTATTTAAACATTAAATACATAATATGTTTCGTTACCTAATTTAATTGTAAATAGACAGCCACATCTGCTTGTCCCTTGTCCTTTTCATGTGTCCAATTATATTATATTATCTATTATTATTTGTATTTATTCATTATTTTATTTTTACATGAATTTTAGCCTTAATTGCATAATAAAAAATAAAAAATCGAGAACTTAGATAAGGAATAAATAAAGACGGGAAATTATAATAGTCCAATTTTTCATCCTGTTTACTAAAAATTATATCTACGATAAACACATTTCACCTGGTTCTACAAAGTCCAGAAATTAGATTTGATATTTATAACGTTGAAGATGATATTTCATGAACACAAACACTGGAATAAGTTATCACGAATTAAATTAAAGCAGAATCAGCATCATATCACAAGTATTTAATGTTTTCAAAATTCTTTTTTTTTGTGGAAAATACATGATTATCTATGATTTGGGTGAATTCCAAATTTTCATCAACGCATTATTACCAACACTACTTTTTCCCGCAGAGCAAGTTGAGGTTTTTATTATTAATTGACGATCGAGAGAATTTTTGTGTGATCGGTGGGGCAAAAATGTAAAAAAATCACTAATCAATAATGTTTAACAAACAATAAAGCACAACGTTTCTGTATTACAAACTTATTCTTTTTATGTTATATATAAAGTAAATCTCATAGATTACTGTATTAAAATATTAAAGGGTTTGGAATGTTTCTTGAAAACTTTTGTATGTAGGCCGCTGAGATTTCAAGAAGTCAATAATATATAAAAATTCAGAATTTTTTAACTTTCAGCCAACACTATCAAGTATTCTGACCAGAGTTATGCTCTTTTTTTTATCGGTTTATTAACAAAAAAACTTTTATTTTAATAAAACCCACCAAATGAACCTATGTATTGTTATAAGTCAAGTCAATAAAATAACTGCAAAAGAATTTTAAAGAGGTATTTAACAAGCCTGAAAGAATTCTAAGGTTGTTTAATAACAATTAGTAACAAAATTTCATAATAAAATGATCGACATTGCACCCATTCATAAACGGATTGCCAATTAAACGTAAATGGGATCATATCAATTCGTAAAAAAAAAAAAATACAAAGCTGACCGATTTTTTCAGAGAAAATGATTGACTTTGCGCTTTTAACGGAGGTAGATGTTAATAATGATGAAATATGTATTGGCACATACGAAAACGAAGGAATGAGAACAACCTAATATTTTCAACAAATCGATATATAGTTTGTCGGTAACTTTTAGTCTTCAACATTCCATTGATCATATTATTTATTTAACATTTGAGGTCAATATTATTATCATTCTAGAAGTTCTAGTTGTCATTACTCACAATAATAGTAACCCGACTGACTCCTTCTGATATACCATAGAATGGTGTTTTGGAAAAAAGGGTCAAAGGTGCGCTATTTTTTACAAGGAGCAGTATGGCAATGAATGCTTGCAACCTCTCAATTCAGTAACTTGATAAGGGAACAGGCGGCCTTGGAAAAATTCTGAGTAGTATTAAAGACAAAAAACACTTTTAAAGAACTCGAAAAGACTTTAATTTGCCAATTTACTTTCCTATGAGTGGCCCCACAGCAAGAAGGGATCTCACTTTAGAAATATTTATACATTAAAATAATAATAAATATGTATATGTATATACGTATTAAACAAATAAAAATCATATAAAAATATCAATCATAATAAAATATATACAGATAAAGCATTTATTTAACGCTGTTAGGATTATCTAAAGCTATTAGACTACCACCAATGATTGTGAAAATCTATAATTTTCAATAATATATAAAATCAATATGAAATAAATTATAAATTACCAAACGAGGTTTAACTTCAACAATGTCTTCAGGTAATAGGAAAATAGTAACTCCAATTTTTCTTGCAATAGAAATTGAATATCTTGCATTTAATGTCACGTCATCCTCTGAAAAAAGGTTTATAAAAAATTTTTTTAATTAGTAAAATACCAGGTATGACTCTTGTCACCAAACCATCAAACCTACTATTCCTAGTCTTATACCATTTAGTAAATCAATCAAAAAGACACCACTTCTCAACGATGAATCTTTGAAACTATTTCATCTTTGTTGATTTTCCACCACATCTTGCTGTTTTATTTGCCCATTGGATTAAATCTGCATCTGTTATTTCACGCCCACAAGACCAAGAATTAAAGTTTTTGCTCCGTCAACAATATCTGCTAATATTGACCAATCAAATATGGCGTAATTGGTATTTTCCACTTGTTGGAAGATTATTGTTATTGGTTTTGTTTGCTTTCTTCTAATTAACTATTCCTGGCTTAAGCTTTGAAGAATAGTTAATATCAAGATCAAATAAATTAAAAATAGATAAAATAGCAAACCTTGAGATCTTCATATAAATTATTAACAGCAGGTGTAACATCCAAACTATTTAGCCATAAGTACAAAATTAATGAAGGAAGGAAGCAACAAGATAAAGATAAAGAAAAAACTTTATTTATTTCTTGTTAGGTATAAGTATGTGTTTTTTCAAGATCATTAATATCATCAGAATTCACAGCCAATTCAGGATCATGTTAATGACCTGATGATGTATTAAGAATATGAATGATATTCTGGTGAATCCATTGAATTATAGTTCGTTAAAACATGATTCGTCACATGTTCCAGGCAATTCAAAAATTTCATCAGGATTAAGATTAGAACGTAATTAATAAACCAATAAAGTCTTGCACCTTCAAGTGTATTTTGCTGATTTCTAACTTCTTTAATTGATGAATGAGAATTTCCAAAGTTATATACTATATTTTTCTCGTAAATTAATTGCAGGATGAACCTCCTCTGGAAAATTGGCAAAAGGATTGAGAAGTTAGAAAAAATCGACAGCTTCCTATTGGAAATAATGGTAAATCTTCCAAATTAAGTAAGGGTGATAGGTAAATCACATGATATTTAATTTACAGTTACGAAAAATAACCCAAGATAATAATAGTAATAATAATAAAAGATGGAACGTCTTGATGAGGAAAGTGCAGATTTGGACTATTTAGAAGAAAATTTAAAAAAGACAGAGGAATTGACAAAGAAGATGGTTCGTTTGTTAATGTTCATTTTAAATTCATTTTATATTTTTTCAGTTTAATAAAAATTGGAAATATATACTTATAATTATGTAGACGAGTATGCTTAATGTTTTTGATGATCGATTAGTAAGATTAGAGGCTTCTATTTTACCAATTCATGGGTCAACACAAAAACTAACAAAATTAGTCGACAGTAAGTATCCTTTTTTATTTCCATTAAATCTTATTTTTAATCATTTATCTTCCACTACATCAATTGTTAATATTTTTTAAAAAAAAGATATCGACAAAACACGTACTGGTGTTCTTGAGATAATTGGTTATTTTGATTTAGTTGTAAGAGAAGAAGCAACTATAAAGAAAGGGTAGGCTCATTCATTTTTGATTAGATGTATGTAAAAATATAAGACAGATTTTTAATATATATATTTTTTATGAAGGCCAAATGAGAATGATTTAGTACCTTATTTAAAATCCATTGGAAAATGTAAAAAAGCTATGGAAGTTTTGGCTGGAATGAGATTAAAAAGCAGTGAAAAAGTTATTGGGCAATTGGTCAGTCATACATACATACATACATACATACATTTATTTATCTATATATACACATATATCTGATATAAATTTTATTAATTTAGAAACAAATATTAAAAGCTGCTATGTTACAATTAGAAGAATTATTTAGAAAATGGTTAACCAGCAGGAGTAATCCTATAGAACCTCTATCTTATATAACAAAAAGTAATCAATGTTTAAATTTAAATAGCATATTTATAAAATTATTATTTGCATAATAAATCCATTGATAAACTAACCACCATTTGACAAAATATATTTTATCAGATCTGGATATTCCTGGAATCCCTCAAGCACCAATACAAAACCTTGCAAAATTATCATCTTATTTGGAAACATATGGACAAGAACTTGATTACAAGAGTAATTTTGTTGATGTATATAGTGAAGTAAGATCCAATTATTTGGTAAAATCTTTAACATTGCTGGCTCAAGGTTCCATTAGCACAGCAGAAAGAAGAAATACTCCAGTTTATGAAAAAGGAACATGTGGGTTCAATTCTTATACAGAAGCCATGTTAAGAATGTTTAAAGTATGTAAAATAATATTAATACCATTATTATTAAATGCCAATATATGTACATTTAATGATTTAATAATACAATTATATAATCAAGTTGTTATAATATAATTACTAAAAAAAGGTTTTAAAAACACACAAACAAATAAAATGTTTTAGACTGAATATGAAGTGGCATCAAAAGTACTCTCACAAAAATTTGTACAAGCTGGCTTCAAAAATGCCATTCAACAATCATTTGATAATTATATTGAGACTGGAAAAGTGTTAAATAATCGTGTAAGAAGGTTTATTGAGACTGACTTATTTTTGGCATTTGATATATTAGAATCATTGAATAGACATGTGCTGGCTTTTGATGATATATTTATGGTAAATTTTTTTTTTAAAAAAAAAATAAATCCAACTTCTTTTAGTAATTAACATTAAATTTTGGTTCTCAAAGTTATATAATTATTACTTGTTATTATTATTATTATATAAATGAAGCTTACAGGTAAAAAAGATGTGTCATATGGTGAACTATTACATTCATTGAAAGGTGTGACTCTTCGATCAATTCCTGAATTCATTGAGGAAATTAAAGTAAAAATTATTATTATTGTTGTTTAAAAATTTTAATTAATTGATTGTTTGATTAACAAACAAGGTTTCAAATCATAATTTTTATTTTAGACTCATCGAACAAAAACATCTGGGTTACCATCTGATGGCACTATACATGAAATGACAATTAATGTATTTTTTTATCTCATTAAATTTATTATTTTCGAAACTATATATTTTCTATAATCATACTCACACGCACTTTATAATATTTTCTTAAAGACTTTACAACATATGAAACGAATGTCAGATTATCCTGAAACAATTGAACAAATTTTATTGACTTTGGGTGATGGTAATTGGAATGTTTCAGACAAAGATCCAAATTTTTCAAGAAATAGAGCAGGCGGGCTTACCATAGGAAGCGATGTTGTTAAACATTATTATAGTAAGATTTTATTTTATTTTCTAAATTAGATAAAATATAAATAAATATTTAACGGTTTACTATTATTATTATTTTTATTTTTATCATTATTAGGCGATGCTTTGGAAGGCTTAGCCTTAAGTCTTGATAGTAAGGCTAGGACTTATAAAAAGACATCATTGACATGTATATTTCTGCTTAACAACTACCAATATATTTTGAAAGCAATAAGGACACAATTTTCAAAACTTTTGGATCCGGAGGTCGAACGTAAATATGAAAGTTTAGTTCAGAAATGTAATGATGGATATCAGGATACGTATGTAACCAAATATTATTATCATCATCATAATAATATATTATTCATTAAATTATTAATTTTGTTTTTTTTTTGAATATTGATAGTTGGAAAGCATGTTTTGCAAATCTTATGGATTATACTGTAGTCCGTGGTACTTTAAAATCCACTTTAAGTCCTAATGATAAGCAAACCTTTAAAGAAAAACTTAAAGTAAAGTATTGTATAGTATTAAATTCAAATTTTTTATTTATTTACTAACCTACAAAAAAAAATTATTATTATTAGAATTTCTATACAGAATTTGATGAAATTTTCAAAATACATAAGGGATATACAATTCCCGATCTTGAATTACGTAATAAAGTTACAAGAGATATAAAAATTGTACTTTTACCAATTTATAATCGCTTTTTGGAAAAATTTCAACAAGCTGATTACTCAAAAGGTACATCAAAATATATTAAATATGACTCTGCAACTCTTGAAAATATGGTTAGCCGATTATTTGATGGTTCTATATATTAACGTAAAGAATTAAAGGATTATTTCTATAAAATAATTTTATCATGCTTACATTATAGAATAATATATATTGTAGTAATAGAGATTATGCAAGTTTTTTTTTTTAATAATAATTTAATAAATTAGTTTTTTTTTACAAGGAACAATTAGCAAAAATGGATGTTTGCTTGATTGAATGCATAAAGTAACCTATGAAGACATTAATGATATTTAATGAAATATAATTAGCAAATTAATCATTTTCTATCTGTTAAATAATTAAATATATTAAATATATATATAAATACTTTAAAAAGTCATCAATATCCAATTTAGCAGCTCTAGATTCAGCCATTTGAACAGAGTTTAAAACATCCAATACTTTTTGTTTTATATCAAAATCTGCTTCCAACATCTTAAATATACATGATTTAATTACTATTTTTAAAAAAAAAACAATATAAAAATATAATATAAAATATTTTACCATTTCGTTAGCTGAACAATATGTTTTATAATTATTTTCTATAATCTGTAATATAGATGATGTTTTGAAACTAGCAGCAAGTGTCTTAAAAATAAACAATGCCGAAGATTAGTATAGATATATATCATACGTATATATGTATTATTAATTGAATAATCTACCCTATTTTTTCTAACAAAAACGATTCTCATTAATCCATCCCATTCTTTAAAATCTATAGGTGGTGGTGGATTAATTGGCTCTATTCTAACTACTGATGCTTCTACTTGCGGAGGTGGTTTAAAATTATTTTTTCCGACCTATTAAAATCACATTAATGTTTCTATTATTGTTTTTTTTTTTAAAAAAAACTACAACAACAATGGAATCTAGAGTGAATAAATTTTAAACCTTCATTATATGAGTAACTTTAGCATAAAGTTGGACATTTACACTCAATCGGCAATATAAATTATCACCAGGTTTGGCAACAAGTCTTAATGCGAATTCACGTTGAAACATTAGTATTGCACATCGAAACATAGGTCTATGCTCAAGAAGTTTGAAAACCAATGGCGATGAGATCTATATAATAGATAATAGATAATTTCATCTATTAGATCATTATGAAGAATGTTCTCCACAAAAAAAAAAAAAAAAAGAAAAAAGTTTTAATAACCTGAAATGGAGTATTACTTATGCAAACATCAAAGTATGGTAGGTCTGTTTTAATAACATCTCCAACCATAATGCTTAATCTTTTTTGTTCAGGTCTTTTTTTTAATATATATTTGAAAAAAATTTACTAAATTATAAAATCTTTTAATAGAAGAAAAATCAATCAATTCAGCTAAAACTAATTAGGATACTTACTTTCCTTGAACTCTTTTTGTTAATTCTGCTGCTAACCTTGGATCAGCTTCAACTGCTATAATTTTTTTGGCAGTTTCCAAGATTTTAACCGTAAGATTACCAGTACCTGGACCTACTTCGAGAACAGTATCTGTGTTTTTTAAACCAGCCTTTGAAAATTTTATTGATCAAGTTTTATGTTAAGAAAAAAAAGATAGCTTAAAATGTAAAACTACCTATATAACACAATTTTTTTTTTAATTATACCTTGTCTATAATACCCTGAGCTACAAGAGGATTTTTCAAAATGTGCTGTCCCAAGCTCTTATTAAATAAAGGCCCTAACGCTCTAACTGCAGGAGCTTTTGTTGATGTGTTTTTTTTAGACTCTTTGTGTGAATGACCAAATTTTTGGGACTTAACCTTTGGCATTATTATTGCTATTATTATATTTTATAAAAAAAAAATTTCAGATTTTTTTTAATCGGGATTTGAAAATTGATCTGCATCGATTTTATTGGACGATGCTTTGCTTTTTGTTGTTAATAAGATAATCAGCATAGTGGAAGTTTGTTGTCACACAAAATGTCATACAGAACTCATTGCTCCTGAAACTTCACCAGTATATAGTTGTTATCTCTTTAAATTGGAGATCAAGTTCAGATCCAATTCAAATCCAGTTTATCACTTACTTTTTATTGCCAGAATGTTTGCCATGTATTGTAAAGCTACGTTGTACAATATAAAAAATTAGTGTATATAACATTTCAAAATTCCACTATGCTGGGCAAAGATTAAGATTGGTCACAATATTTATATATGTGGAAAAATGTGAAATTATTTATGTATGTATTTTAAAATGTGTATAAAATAAATTCTAAATAAATAAAACTAACAATCTTTCGCAAAAAAAAAAAAAAAAAAATTTTAAAAATAAAAATAAAAATAAAAATATATATGATCAATTGTTTCATGACGAAATATCTATGTAGTTGTTACACGAAATGTTATACAGAATCCATTGCTCCTGAAACTTCATTGGTATATATATAGTTGTTACCTCTATAAATTGGAGATCAAGTTCAGATCCAATTCAAATTCACTTTTTTTTATTGTAAAGCTACGTTGCACAATATAAAAAATTAATGTAACATTTCAAATTTCCACTAATGCTTAAATAGCGTGTAACTATTCCAAGACAAAAATTTTAATTAATATCCATTATGCGATAACGAACGGCGAGTCACCTAGTCAACATAATTGTTTTGTAAAGATGAAATTTTTTTAACATAATAGAACTTTTTTATTTTATTGTGCAATAGTAGTAAATCAGTAAGTTTTGTAAAGAGACAACACCTTTGTTTTCACACAATCTTGGAGATATATTTTTTATTGCTTATATATATTTATTGATGTTGTTATTATTACTATTATCGTAAAGAGACTTTTATTTTGCAGGTGGTGAATTGCCAAATATTAATAAAATTATATAATTACCCATCTAAACACATATGTGCAATTTTATTTATTAATAATAAAATTAAAACTAAAAGGTTTTCATAACATAAAAAACTAACTAACAATCTTTCACAAAAAAAAAAAAAAAATTATATATGATCAATTGTTTCATGACGAAATATCTATGTAGTTGTTATTTATTATAATAGTAATAAGTAGTGTGTAAATATTCCAAGACAAAAATTTTTAATGATTTGGAGATAGATTTTTTTAATTAATATCCATTATGCGATAACGAACGGCGAGTCATCTAGTCAACGTAATTATTTTGTAAAGATAAAATGTTTTTAACATAATAGAACTTATTTATTTATTGTACAATAGTAATAAATCAGCAAGTTTTGTAAAGAGACAACCCCTTTGTTTTCACACGATCTGGAGATATATTTTTTATTGCTTATATTTATTATTATCGTAAAGAGAATTTTTTTAATATTAATCAAGCAATTTTATTTATTAATAATAAAATTAAGGTGGTGGTGAAGATTGGTCACGATGTTTATACATGTGAGAAAAGTTTTCAATAACATGAAGTTATTTATCTATGTATTTTAAAATATGTATAAATTAAATTCCAAAAATAAATAAAACTAATTGACTAACAATCTTTCGCAAAAAAAAAAAACTTAAAAATAAAATTAAAATTATAAATTATATATGATCAATTGTTTATGACGAAATATCTATGTTATTATTATGGTAATAAATAATGTGTAGCTATCTATTCTAAGGCATGATTTGTAGATAGATTTTAATAATTAATATCCATTATGCGATAACGAACGGCGAGTCACCTAGTCAACGTAATTATTTTGTAAAGATGAAATGTTTTTAACATAATAGAACTTATTTATTTATTGTACAATAGTAATAAATCAGCAAGTTTGTAAAAAGACAACCCCTTTGTTTTCACACGATTTGGAGATGTATTTATTTTATTATTATCGTAAAGAGTCTACACTAATTTTTATTTCCTTTTTAAGTTATATTATGTCAAAGGTTTTTTCAAAAATAATAGAATAAAGTAATATAAAAAAAAAAATAATGTCTTTTACAATTTTATTTACCCTCCTACTTATGTATAAAATTTTTTCTAACAAATGAAACATACATAAAATTTACATATATATAGGTGCGGCGAATTTTCTCAAGTAGTTATATAAAAAAAAAAACACTTCTCACCTCATTACATAAAATTAAATTTTATTTCTCTAAAAAAAAAATTTAAATTCTTATTATCAAGAAACACACACAGTAATGGCGAGAAAAAACAATAACCGTAATTTCAAAAACAATAACCGTAATTTCAGAAACAATAATCAGAATTTCAGAAACAACAATAATAAAGTTGGATTTAATAATCGAGCTGGTTTTAATAACGGAGCTGGTTTTAATAATAATAATAATGAAGCTGGTTTTAATAACGGAGCCGGATTAAGAAACGATAATAACGTTGTATGCTTCATTAATTCGATCCTTCAAGTCCTCGTACATCTTCCCAATGCAGAAAGGCATTTAGAATCTACCGGCAACCATCAATGTAAATACTCTTTGCATTAATCAAATACTTTGATCATGCTATATATATTATTTAATTTATTAAATACTCTTTTATCACTATTATCACTATCACTTTATTGCTATTATCATTACTATCGCTATCTATTAATCATTATTATCACTATTATCACTATTATCGCTATTATCACTATACCGCTATTATCACTATATCGCTATTACCACTATATCACTATTACCACTACATCGCTATTACCACTACATCGCTATTACCACTACATCGCTATTACCACTACATCGCTATTACCACTACATCGCTATCACCACTACATCGCTATTACCACTACATCGCTATCACCACTACATCGCTACTACCACTACATCGCTGCTACCACTACATCGCTACTACCACTACATCGCTATTACCACTACATCTCTATTACAACTACATCGCTATTACCATTACATTGCTATTACCACTACATCGCTATTACCACTACATCGGTATTACCTTTACATCGCTATTACCACTATGTAGGTTATTGTAGTCCTGTATGTATTTTCAATGAATTAAAACGGTTGCGTATTAAACTTATGGAATCACGGCAACCAGTTTATGCTGGCCCATTCATCACCTATCTTACAGGTATGTAATTTAATTAATGTTTATTTGTATTATTTGAATACGTATATTATAAATTAATTTACAATTTATATTATTATTAGATATCGAACCATTCGCCGAGGTAAACGAGCAAAATGATGCTTTCTTATATTTGTGTGGCATTCTTCAAAAGGTGGGCGAATGTGTCAATGAGAACATGATCGCACAACATATGTATTATGATTTCTGGACAACTCTACAAAAGAAGGTTATTGTTGTTATCATTATACAATAAAAAATTGATTCATTAATTTTGTTTATTTATAAATTGATATACTAACGAAAGAAAAAAAATTTATTAGATAACTTGTCAAAATTGTAAGAGAGAGACTTTGTCGACAGAAAGCGTTGTTACGATCTCTGCAGCAACGAAAAATTCAATAGAAGAGTGCTTTGATGAGTATTGTGAATCCGCCGAATTACCTGGTTTCAAGTGCTCGTAAGTATTATTATCATTGTTATTATAATTGATCTTGGAAATATCTGATTTTCTAAATAAATCATAATCTTATTTATTAGGTGCAATAAGTTTACTTGCAACCAAGAATTTACGATAAAAGAAGAGCCAAATACTCTTATAGTACAATTGAAAAGATTCGGTTTCTCCAGCTCCACGAAGCAAGGATACAAGATTTCAAAACGTGTGGAATTTGGAGAGGTACTAGACATTTCGAAATATATTTTGGGGGTAAATAATTAAATAATTAAATAATGAAAATGATAATATGTTTATGCATTAATAACATAATGCTAATTAAATACAAATCATACAATTTATTGTTAAAGGGTAAAAATGTTCGTTATAATCTTAGCGCTGTCTTGGTTCATGAAGGTAGTACCATTCGTAAAGGACATTATTACTCATATATCAAAAATAGAAACAATGAATGGTATTTATATAATGATAGATATGTTCAACGAGTAAGTATTATATATATATATATGTATACAAGTTTTTCAATAGCAAATGATAAATCATTAATTAATTAATTAATCTTAAAAAATTAGGTTTCAATCAATTCCGTACTCGAGTGTAAGCCCTACGTCCTATTTTATACAAAAATAACATCTACATTTCCCGCATCTACACCATCATCAACGATTAACATTGACGATAAACGTGAGGGTGACGAAAAGACTGATCTTTGCAAGTCTAACGAGAAGACTAAAACTAAATCAACATCGTCAACATCTAAAATTAACGATAAACATGAAAAGACAACCCATTACGATCCTAACGAGATGACTAAAACAAACTCATTGTCATCAACAACTAAAATTAACGATAAACGTAATAAATACAAAAAGACAACGGTTTATGATTCTAACGAGAAGATTAAAACCAAATCAACATCTTCAACATCTAAAATTAACGATAAACGTAATAAATATGGAAAGACAACGGTTTATGATTCTAGCGAAAAGACTAAAACCAAATCAACATCGTCAACGACTAAAATTAACGATAAACGTAATAAATATGAAAAGACAACGGTTTATGATTCTAACGAGAAGAATAAACTCAAATCGACATCATCAACGCCTAAACTTAACAATAAACGTGATTTTAACGAGATGATTAAAGAAAAATCATCATCACCAACGACTAAAATTAACGATAAACGTATTAAATATGAAAAGACAACCGTTTACGAGTCTAACGATAAGATTAAAACTAAATCACCACCGTCAACGTCTAAAATCAACGATAAACGTGAAAAGACAATCATTTACGATTCTAACGAGATGACTAAAACTAAATCACCATTATCGACATCTAAAAATAACAATAAACGTTATAGAGATGAAAAACCAAATTTTTACGAGTCCAACAAAAGGACTAAAACAAAATCACCACCATAGACATATAAGATTAACGATAAACGCGAAAAATATAAAAAAACAATCCTTTACGATTCTAACGAGATGACTATAACCAAATCACCATCATCGACATCTCACAATAACAATAAACGTTATAGAGACGAAAAACAAATTTTTACGAGTTTAACAAAAGGACGAAAACAAAATCACTATAATCGTCGTCTAAAACTAACGATAAATATGAGAAGACAAAATTTTATGAATCAAACAATCAGATTAAAACCAAATCACCTTCATCAACGTTTAACAATAACGGTAAACGTGATAAAAGACGAAAAACAAACATTTGTGAGTCTAACAAAAGGATTAAAACAAATCATCGTTATCAACATCTAACAATTATGATAAACGTAATAGAGGCAAAAAGACCGACCTTTATGTCTTTAACGAAAGGATTAAAATCGAACAATCATCATCGACGTCTAAAATTAACGATAGACGTGATAAATATGAAAAGACAAACTTCTATGAGTCTTGATGTTGCATGACGAAACTTTCGACTTTAATCATTGCCGTGGCGAAAGTGCTGACTAAATTAGTTTCTCACCAAGAGGCATTTTGACGATTTGACGAAAGTAAAAATTGATGACGAAAGTAAAAATAATTGACGAAAGTAAAAATAGTTGACGAAAGTAAAAATAGTTGACGAAAATAAAAAATCAATTCTTTTGTTTTGCAACTAGAGTAACGAATGTTTACTTACTATTTATAGTTACCACCACCATCACCATATAATCATAAAAAAGAAATTTACATTCTCTCTAATTACTGACATTTAATTTTGAATATATTGAAAATTCATTATTACAATACATTGTTAAAATTAAATTTTTTTTTAATTTTTTTTTGATATTGGGTATTTAAATTATATTAAAAAATTACTGAATTTTATATATGCACATAATAATATGATATAAAATAAATCATAAAGAATAAAAAATAATGTAAAAATAAACAGATAAATTTAACAAAACTCACATTCGTTAATTCTTTTTTTTTTGTATTATTAAATGTTTTACTGCTACTTTTTTTTTTATCTTTTTTTTTTTTTTTTTGGCTCACTTCATACATTAAAACAACATAATTTACATAGAAGAAATGTTTACAATGAAGTTGTAAAAAATAAAAAAACAAAAATATGAATAATTATAGTAAAAATTTAATAAAATTTTTTTTTTGTTTTGCAAGATTTTAACTTTCGCCAAGGGATTTTAATTTCGCCAAGGATTTAGTCTTTCGTCATAGGTTTAGTCTTTCGTCATTTTTTATTACATTTGACGAAATAGTTTCTCAACTCCAAAAACATTTCGTCATGCATCATTAGCATCATTAGACATGACAATAACTAAAAATTTTACTATCCCAATCACATCTGCTTATCAAGTAAAATTAATCTTCATATTAAATACAGAAATAGTATAATATATTGAAGTTTCACCACATTTAAATAAAACCATTGTTGTTTTACAAACCTTAAAAGTTCTATAAAATGAATTCGGAATTTTCTGACTCGAAAATTGACTAAAACGGCAAATTCTATTCTAGTCATCTTTTATGGTATAATTAAAAAATGTTCAAGTTTGAAACTGGTTATTTGCAGTATTTCACAAAGTTTGCCATATTATTATTATTATTTTCTTTTTATCCATATTTTTTTCAAAGACTCAAAATAGCCAGAGGTATTGAATTATCTGAAGAATTATTGGCGAATTTTTCTTATAGGGAAATAGCCAACATATTAAATATATCCAAAAGAGCACCATTAATGATTATTTTTTTTAAAAAATAAAACAACAGCAGCCACCAAGGCTGGCAGACCCAAACAATTATCAAGTGAAAAAGACTGTCAGGCGAACTTTACATGTTAAAAATCTTTATGGTAGGAAAGCTGTAAAGAAGTCATTAATTGCAGAAAAAAATATAGGAAAAAAAGATTATTTTGGTGACACGCAAGAAAAAATTAGGGGTTTGGAGGATGTCAGGAAAAAGATATAAAAAAGGATATTTTAAGTCCAACGGTAAAACAATCTGATGAAGTTGTGGTTTGGGTTTACAAGAAAAATGGGTGCATTAGTGTAAATAAATTTTAATTGATTTTCCATTTTATCAAAATTTTTTTGCAAACTTTTAATTGGATGTTTGAGGGTAAATGCAAGTAATTATAATAATCTTCTTGCGGCAAATTTATTATCTTTTATTAATGAATTAAATGTAGAAAATTGTCATAATAGTGTTGATGGTGTATTTATCTTTCAAGATGATAATGCACCATGTATGTCATAATGCAGCTGCCGCAAACACATGGAAAGAAGATAATGAGGTCTGCCCAAAGTCCAGATCTCAATCCTATTGAAAATTTTTGGCAAGATTTAAAAAGAAGACTTAAAATGAGAAACACAAAACCAATTTATTAAAAGAGGAATGGTTTAATCCCGGGGAGAATTAATAGATTAATAGATAGTATGCCACGAAAAGTTGATGCTGTTTTAAAAAGTAAATGATACCCGACAAGATATTGTTTTTTTTTTTTAATAAAGTATAATTAATTCAAAACAGTTTCATGTATTTTTTGTCATGTCTTTTATAATGAGCAGTTTGAGGTTGAATTATTTCGTAAATTTTTTTACGTTTTTTTTTTTTTCTCGGCAATTAATTTATCAAATGTTCTAAAATTTTAAAAGTAAACATAAGACGCATTTTTTACTTATGCTATAAAGGTCGTTAGAACTTGCAAAGGTTTTTTAAAAATTCTAAAAAATTCATTTTATTTTTCAAGGTTCGTAAAACAACAACCTGTTGTTTATATATGGCGAAACATAAGTATATTATACTATTTGATATGAAGATGAAATTTTACTTAATAAGCAAATGGGCATGGTTTCTAAGCCAACAAAAATGTTCTTTGAGGCAGATGGAATTGTAACATTAACTCAATTGATAAAACATGTCCAAATCCGTGGTTAAAATATTCACTTTGAAAGAAATTACTCCCTTCTCTTTCATTATCATCATCATTTGTGCTATGTCTCTTGTACCAATTATCGAAGGACATTCCGTCTTCATTCTAGCAACTTAATTTGTTTGACTTTGGTATGCTAGGGTATCAATCATATATCTGCCGACATGTTTTTGTGCATTGCAAAATTTCGTATATTAAGAAAAATATCCTACAACTAATTTATTGTCGACACTAATTTAACATTTAAAAATTTTAAAATCCATGAAATTTCTGATAATCATATTTGAATTGATTTATAGAGAATTTCCTGTTTCATTTGTATTGTTATAAAAAAATTAATTGAAATTATTAGATATATGTATGCGTTAATTACTCCATCGAAAGACAAGAAAGTTGATCTTTTGCTTCAGATAGCTGTTTGAACATTGTATATCTGGTTAAGGTATGGGATTTTGCACGAACAGGCCACATTAATAGTTTAATTTTACATGCAATCCATCATTTAATCACATTCTAAAAAAAGAATATCTTTATGGCATTTGTTACAAATAATATATAGCTTCGCAAATAAGTTTATGTATGCTGTTTATATGACCAATTGGTTTGGATATTTGGATACTGTCATTCTTCATGAATTGTTTACAACCTAAAGTTTTGTTTTTTTTGGACCACCAAGGTTTGCTATAATGCCAGTCAATTGACGATCCATTGGAATTCATTATGAATCATTTCAAGCATATTCGGTCTCAATGGGCCTGGTACATTCCCGAACCCGTTTTGAGCCAAGAATTATATTTAAAACTAAAAATATGCTGATTTCAACTTGGAATACAATTTCTTTGCGGGTTACCACCAGAGATTAAGCTTCCTATCGAAGGATCGACAAATGTTTTGACCGTTTATAATCAATCAATCGCAACCTAATTCTAAAAATAAACTTTAGTATCAATGATTTTATCAACTTGTAAAAATCATTGTAAATTCAATGATTTTTATCAAATTGTCAATATCATTGTAAATTCAATGATTTTTATCAAATTGTCAATATCATTGTAAATTCAATAATTTTTTTCACACAAATTGCCCATTTATAATTGAAAAATTAGGTTCGTTTCTCTAAATGAAAATTTTCTATCTATTTGTTGGAATTTTTTGTATTCTAAATTCATAAATTATTATTCAAAATGAAAAAATTTATAAAAAGTGTGCCCAAGAGAAAAAAAGATAATATAAGAAAAGAAAATTATGGTAATGGTATAATACTTGGTGTCAATCATGTAATCTACAATTGTTAACTCAAGAGTCTTTTATTAGATGAACTTCGCAAAACGGTGCTCTTTAATGAGACTGGCGAACAAAAAGTTGAGGTTAATCAGAGGAACTTGATCGATAAGGTTTTGGCAAGGTATGTACATAATGTTTGCAAATCAGACTTTTGATTTTATTTACATCATTAATCAATTCAATCATATTTTATTGATAGATATTCGGCAGAGTTCGTGATATATAGGGAATTGATGCAGAATTCAGGTAATAATGAGCCTATTTTCTACTTGTTCCTAACTATTTTTACCTAAAATTATCAAAATCATTCAGACGATGCCCAGGCCAAAACCGTCCAAATAACATTTGAAACCGACAAGTCAAAAAAATGCAGACGAATCATATTCAAGAATAATGGTTTCCTGTTTCGAGATGAAGATTGGAACAGGTTGAAAAAAATCGCAGAGGGAAATCCTGATGTAGAAAAGGTTTGGTTCTAATTGATTAATGCATCAGGTTTTTTTTTGCAAGATCATTTTTGGATTGTTGAGAATTTAATTGTGGTTGATTTAGATTGGAGCATTTGGAGTCGGATTTTATTCGTTGTTTTCAATTTGTGAAGAGCCATTGTAAATAATTAAAGTTTATTATAAAGTTTGATGTTATTCCGTTCAATTAATCCAATTTTTGACCGCGTGGTACCTTTTCTTTTATTAGCATTTCGTCAGGTACACAAGGTATGGCCTTTTATTGGCGC